GACATGATAGAAAAAATTGTGTCAGGAAAATAATCCTTTAAAACTCAACCAAAAAGCAACTGAATATCTCATGCAACTTCCATCAGCTTATCACTGAAGGATGACTGATAATCCACACACTTGCATTTTTTTAAGGTGGGTGGGTCAAGAAAAAAATAAAAGCATGATCCAAGAAAGTAAAAAAAAAACTGACAACCTGGATTATGTCAACATATAAACTATTTGCTCTGAGGGTAAAAGACTGGTATACTCAAAACTAATAAATGTTGCTAAAATAAATTAATGATTCAAAGTGGATTAAGGACACTGTTAAGATGCCAGAACTACCAGAAGTGATCTAAAGATTCAGTGTAATCTCCATTAAAATCTCAAAGAGGTTTTTTGCAGAAATAGAAAAATTCATCCCCAAATTCAGATGGAAACTCAAGGGACCCCAAATAGCAAAAACACTATTGAAAAAGAAGAACAAAATAAAGGTTTTACAGTTCCTGGTTTCAAAACTTACTACAAAGCTAAAGTAATTAAAATAGTGTGGCCATAGCACAAACATAGATATATATGCCAAAGGAACTGGTGAATAGAGAATGCAGAAATAGAATCTCACATATATAGCCAAATGATTTTTGGAGAAAGTGCCAACACCATTCAACGGAAAGGACAGTCTTATCAATAAGCAGTGCTAAGAAAGCTGGATGATAACATATGCAAAAAAAAAAAGGGATCAAAGACCTCAACATAAGAACTAAAACTATGAAACTCTCAGAAGGCAAAATATGTGAAAAACTTTATGATATTAGAGTTGGCAATGATTTCTTGAATATGATATAAAAAGCACATATACAAAAGGAAAAATAGACAAATTGTACTTCATCAAAGTAAAAATTTCTATGCATCAAAGAACACTATCAATAGACTACAAAGGCAACCCATGGAATGGGAGAAAATATAAATATTTGCATATCATATATCTGACAAAGGAGTAATATCCAGAATATACAAAGAACTCCTAATTGACACCAACAGATAACCAACATTTTTTAAAAAATGGGCAAAGATCTTAAACACTTCTCCAAAAATATACAAATGATTAAAAAAGCACATGAAACGATGTTCAACATCACTAGTCACTAGGGAAATGCAAACCAAACCCACAGCTCACACACATTAGGATGGCTATTATAAAAAATGAAAATAAGAAACTGGAAGCCTTGTATATTGCTGGTGGGAATGTAAATTGGTATTACCTCTACTGAAAACAGTAAGATGGTTCCTCAAAACATTAAACATAGAACTACTGTACGATCCAGCAATTCCAATCATGTGGGTATATATTCAAGATAATCAAAAGCAAGGACTCAATACATTTAGGTTACTGCAGCATTATTCACAATAGTTAAACGGTAAAAACAACAGTGTCTACTGACAGATGAATGTATAAACAGTATGTGGTAGGTACATACAAAGTAATATTATTTAGCCTTTTTTTAAAGGAAGGGAATTCTGACAAATGCTACAATATGAATAAACTTTGACCACATTAAGCTAACTGAAATAAGTCAGGCACAAAATGACAAATAGTATAGGCTTCCACTTATATGAGAAACACTAGAGTAGTCAAATTCACAGAGACACAAAGTAGAGTGGTGACTGCCAAGGGCTGAAGAGAAGTAGAGAATGGGGAGTTAAGTGTCTAAGGGGCACAGTTACAGTTTGGGGAGAATGGCAATGGCTAGTGATGATGGTTGCAGAACAACAAGAACATGCTTAATGCCAGAGAACTGTATGCGTAAAAAACGTTTACAATGGTCAACTTTAGGTTAGGTATATTTTACCACAATTAAAAACTGTGCTCTGCAAAAGGCACTGTGAAGAGAATAAAAAGACAAACCATTGGCTGGGATAAAATATTTTCAAATCATAAGTCCAAAAGAGAATTGTGTTTAGAATACATGAAGAACATTCAATAGTTATCAAGAAGAAAATGAACCACCCAATTAAAAACAGCAAAATATCTGAACAGACACTTCAGCAAACAGGATATAAAGATGATAAATAAGCAAATGGAAAGATGTTCAACACCACTAGCCATTAAGGAAATGCAAATAAAAACTACAATGAGATACCACTTCACATCTATTAGAATAACTAAAATAAATACCAACAATACCAAAAGCTGACAAATGCAACTTGAGCTCTCATACATTGCTGGTGAAAATGTAAAATGGTTCAGCCACTCTGGAAAATGGTTTGGCAGTTTCTTATAAAGTTAAGCATACACTTACCATATGACCCAGTAATCCCACTTCTAGATATTTACCTTAGAGAAATAAAAATGTATGTTCACACAAAAACCTGAATAAGAATGTTCACAGCAGTATTATTCATAATCACCATAACCTAGAGACACCCAAATGCACTTCAATGGGTGAATGAAAAAGCAAACTTTGGAGCAACCATATCTAATGGAATGCTACCCAGCAAAATCAATGAACTAGTGACACATTCAGCTTGGATGAATCTCAAAGGCATATGATGAATGAAAGAAGGCCGTCTCAAAAAGTTATGTATTTTATAGTTCCATTTATATGACATTCTCTGAAAGACAAAATTATAGTGATGAAGAACAGATCAGCAATTGTCAGAGATTATGGGTGGGTGTTGGGGATGACTATAAATATATAGTATGAAGAAGTTTTAGGCTGATGGAACTGTTCTCTGTCCTGATCGTGGTGGTGGTGGTTACATGAATCTACATGATTAACATGATTTACAAGTCACAGTGGTACACCAAAAAAACCCCACAAAAAAAACAGGCAATTTTATTGTAAGCTCATTTCAAAAATAAAAGATTAGCTATTATATTATCATAATCATCAATATTTATACTTTACTGATTAATAAAAATATTCATAATCGGTTGTGAAATAGGATCTAAAAACATTATGGTCATTTTATGTCTGGTACAATAACTTAATAGAGAAAAAAACAATATTACTAAATGGAAATGCTTTACAACTTCTACTAACTCCTCTCTTTAATATTCCATATCAGGATAATATGCTCCTTCTAGATCATTTCCTATAAACATTGTCATATACTGAAAATGGAATTAAATAGCGCTCAATTTAGAAGTCTCGGATCCTAGGTTACATTCCTAAATCTAACACTGTAAGAAAACTCTCGACTTGCCTTTTGTGCCTAATTTTATCTTCCTCTTCATTGAGGTCATGTACTTGTCTGCACTTGTCTTTTTGTGGTATGCTGTGAAGGTTTAAAGCAAGGAGTTTCAAAGATAGGAAAAAGAACAGATTCATAAACCACCCGCCCGTCCCCCCAGATACCAGGTACTGACTGTTCTAAATGCTTCATGTGTATTATCTCACTTAATCACACTAACAACCCTATTATACTATTAATATTCTCACTTTACAGATGAAGAAATTGAAGCACAGTGTGGCAACTTGCATAGCATCTTAGAGCTAGTGAGTGGGGGGAGCCAGGATTTTCCCAGTGTTCTGCCATTTCCCGCAGACTGTTTATTTGTTCTCCATGCCTTCCTTCACCAAGCTCTTCCATGGCCTCTCAGTCTCTAACAAATAATTCACTCATTCTCAGGGTTTTGCCTATCAGCAAAGCATAATGATTCCCAATTCTCTGTCTAGTTGTGACCTCTTTCCTGAGCTCACTGCCGCATTTCCCAATGCCTCCTCAATAACGGAAATTGATGATCCTGCCATTCTTACAAATAAAACATGTTTAAAAACAAACATCATCTTTCCTCCAAATTTCCCCATAAAAGCCTTGAAATTTCTGGGTTACCTTTGCCACATTCCTCTCCACTGACTTCGCCTTCATTCTCATCAACAAGTTTTATCAATTCTTCCTGTGTAATGTCTCTTATAACCATACATACCTCTCTTTTCAATTCACTGCCATCATTTTAGTCCAGATCTTCATTCTTAAATGAACATAATACCCTGTAACCATTTTCCCTGCTGCCAGTTCTTCTCACATGTAATTTATTGGCCAAAGATTAGTAATTTACAAATACTGCTTTTATCGTGTTATTCCTGGCTCAAAAACCATCATCCAGCCAATTAACAAATGAATAACTCTGGAGAGGTCTGTACTAATCACCCAATGAAAGTTTAAATTTTTTAGCTTCCTCTCTGCCTCTCACATTTCCCCCAAACATGCCACAGTGCTCACACTGTCTGCTGCCATGGAAATGCATATCCCTCTTCTTTCTAAACAATAGATAGTAGTGAAAGAATATTTAACTCTTACCTCCTCTGAGAGTTCTCCAAGTGATGCCAAAGCACAGTGGCCTTTCCCTCCTCTGAACGTCTACAGCACAACAAGTAGTTCTAGCTTTCTTACTAAATGTTACTCTCCAACCAGACTGTATTGGCACAAAAGTCATTCAGCACTTCAGAAACCACAAAGTTCTGTGCACATTCCACAGTGCCTAGAAAACGAATGCTAAACTAATTCTGGTTATGGTACGGACTATTTATTTTTTGCTAATTAATAGTTCAGCCTGAAGACCCTTCACCATCTGGCCTCACCAACCTTTCCAATGCCATCTCCCTTCACTCCCTGCCATGCCCAGTACTTCTTGCCACACTGAACTTTTCATTGTTCCCTGAACACATCAGGTCCTTTCACAGCCCTGTTGCTACTCACCCACTAACTATAGCGCCCTATTTATCATACAACTGCCTGTGGATTTGTCAAGATTCAATACAAATGTCAATGACTCCTGACTCCCCCAACTACACCTAGATGTTCTCTGCTCCCTGCAGCTTTATACACATCTTTAAAAAGCAATTTCCATGTTGTACTGAACTGTGAACATATTTGTCTCTCTCGTGGAACTACACATTCCTCCAGAGTAGTGATAGTTTGTCCTTCCCCTATCCCTTCATTAACTCTTCTTATCTAATATTAGATCTTTGTCTCAATGAAAGAACATTTCAAAATCAGTGGCGACCACATACCTTGGTAATAAAGAGCCTTAAGGAAGGAATGGCGGTCAGCACCCTGAAATAAAGACTTTTCTATTTCCATTTCTCGCCGGGTCAACTGTTTGCTCTTTGCAAATCTCTGTGGCAGGCAAAGGATGCGCTGACGCTCTGAGATCCTTTCTTCAATATCTTGAAGACGCTTCTGTATTGCTTCAGGGGTTGCCCTCAGTCTTGTCCTCTGAAACCAGAAAAGCAAGATGGCACAGATCAGGAAGGACCATTCTGAAAGTGATGATTTGATGCCTCCAACAGGAAAAAATAGATGACAGTTTATAGAAGTGCCATTAAAGATTCCAAAGAACAGCCTTCTCTTTTGCCAAGGTCCCTATCCTCGAAACCAAAGATGATTCAGAAACAAAATTCAATTTTAAGAGAATTAAAAATGAAAGAGTTTTCAACGCCAAATCAAGAGGCCTTGGTCTTTATTCTCTAGATCAAAAAAATGCCCCACTCACCTTTTCACCTGTAACATGGCTCTTCCAGATCAAGATTTCTGTTTCATTGAGCCCTAGTTCCCTGAGAGAAGCAGTTTCCTGATCCTTCTCATGCAGTGTCTGGAACTGGGATAAAGTCAAAGTCCCAGCTGCTTCCTTCCCAAAGGGCTTGTACATAGTACCAGGAGCAAAGCTCTCTTTTTTAGACATACATCTGCAACACAAGCAGAAAGGGATTAAGAACTTCTTCAAGTTACCAAGAGTTCAGACACGTGACTCACTTTTAATAAAGAGCTACAATGACAATCACTGGCAATGCCTCTCACATGCCCAGTTTCTCGGCTGGAGGGTTTAACAATAAAAAAAAAAGCTAATAATGGCCTGTGCTCCTGTAGAAGAACAGTGGGAAAGGCAAGTACACAAACATGCCAACACTGGGTTAGGAAGGCTGTGTGTGTTAAGGGAAGACACAGGGAAGTACTTGAGCTCAGACTTAGAGGGATGTGGGAAGCTTCCCAGAGGAAGAGACACACAAGAAAAATCCTGCCTAATAAACAGAAGTTTGCCAAGGAAAGGTGGGTGGGAGAGGACAGCTCCACGCAGGCTTAAGAGGGGGTCTGTCACCTGCAGGAAAGAGTCTATGATACTTTACTGCTTGCAGAATCAATACCTACTCCTCAATGGAGACAGAGGTATCAAGTTGATGCTGAAGGAGGCTTTTCAGCTGCCTCTCCCCTTCTGTTTCCAACTCCTCCAGGACATGCTCATCACTCTTCACACAGCTGTTTACCCTGGAGTAATAAAAGAATATACACAGAAAGTAGAAGAGACAGTGAATCTGAGAACATATTCGTTGTCTAGCTTATCTTACTTTAGGGACCCCATTTCCCTACCCATTCATCACTCTTGACCATTCATTTCACCAATATTTGCTAAATACACACAACCCATTGTGCTAGATACTGAGGGAAGTCAAGATAAGTCAGTATTCAAGGCACAGTCCCTATCCTTAAGAAGTCTGCAATTTATTAAAGGAGAGGAAATACAAGTGCATGTGTTTTGATCCTGTGCCTGCACCTATAGGGAGAGGTAAAAAGGGAGAGGAGGAGGAAGAGGTGAAGGGAGGGAGGGAAGGAGGGAGGGGCAGAGGAGAGAATGCTACAAAGATGTATATGCCAAATTAGTAGCCGTTCAGAGAAAAGACTAATTAGGTAGGAGTTAGGACGGTAATGAAGGCTTTGGAAAGGTAATTCTTAAACCAGCATCTGAAGGATCGGTTGTGATGAAGGACAGGAGAACAGGGAGAGCAAGTATAAAGAGACAGAAATACGTTCTCAGGGATAATGAGAAGTTCAATTTAGCTGGCATTCAGGTATGGGAGTAATGGGAGATAATCTTGGAGGAATAATTTGATTCAGATTGTGAATGGCCTTAAATACACTAAGGGGCCTGGACTTTAATTGTGTAAGTATTAGAAAGAAATTTATCAGGTAGTTAAGTGACCCGACAGTTAAGTGATGGTTTAGGAAAATGGATATGGTTATAATGTGGATTAGTACTGAAAAAAAAAAAAAAAAAACAGAAGCACTAATTAGAAAACAAGTTAAATTTTATCAAGCATAAGGCGATGAAGGTCTAAACCAGAGTGGTAATAGTGGAAGTAGAACAGGATTAAATGAGAGAAGCCTTTTGAAGGTGGGGGAGGGAGAAATCAAAGATAACCCACAAATTCCAAGCTGTATAACTTAGAGAATGGTGGTACCACTGAAGAAGGAACAAGGAGGCTCAAGATTGAACAAAAGGTAAATAGCATTGTTTTAGCTATGTTGAGTCAAGGAGCTATTACAAGTGAAACCACAGCAAGAAGTATCAGGAATACTTCCATGACTTAATGACTTTGCCGTGACAGTATAAGTGGTATAATTAAAAGGAAAATGAAAGATGGTAGAAATGTTGCAGAAATGCACATCTAAGCCTGAACATCAAATTTTCAAGTCATCTGTGTTGTCAGGATCTGGAGCAGAAAGAGAGCTCTCCAAAGGAGAAAATATACAGACAAATGTGAAGACACCTCACAGTTCAGGCATTGAACAAAATCCATGCAATGTTAACATGAGCTAACTAACACTAAATAATTGAAAATTCCTACTAAAGCATAAAGAAATGACAAGAGCACTTAAGGATGAAACAATAGATTATAAAAGACAAAAACACGATGAGTTAACCATAAGGAAAGTGAGTTAAATGCCTTCCTTATAACACAGCCCTTTCCTGTTGGGGCTATGATGAGGCTTGAAATAGTTTCCAATCTTATAAACTAGATTCCCATGCTCTGGAAAGACTTAGGCTTATTATGGCAAATTTTAAAATATCCTTAAATGCGGGTTTTTAAACATTCTTTTTTAATAACCTAATATTTATTATTTAAAATTTCAGTTCTTGCTATGTTTGAAGTGACTTTCAAAAGAAAAAAAAAGCATAGCTAAATACACAGTACACACAAATCAAAAATGAACAGTTGAGTGGCAAAAAAGCAGGTCACAGAGAAATTCACAGTGAGTTTCCATTTACATAAAGCTGAAAAATGAGTAAAACCTGAAACATTTTACCACAAACTATTTCTTTTTTAAATTAAAAAAAAAATTTTACATCATTCTTCATTTTGTGCAGTTTCATCTCAGTTGTAATCCCCATGGGTTTCCCACCACCAATTCAGCCGTGTGCCATCACACAAAACTATTTCTTTTTAAATGAAAGGGCTGATGAATGCAAAATTCCTGATAATGGTCCCCTCAGGGAAAAGGAGGAAGTAGAAGCAAACGGGAAGGGGCACACAGGGGACAAGTTATTGGTGACGTTCTACTTCTAAGGTCTGTCGTGGATACGACTCTATTCTTCCTTAAGCCACAAAGATACGCTCTTACGCATGTATGAGATATACAGCAACACCCAGGTTTTTAAAAGTTATTTTGTAGCAGGGAAAATCTGCTACAAGGTTTTTTCAAATGATGCCTGGGATGGACAGAACAGGAGCGCTCAGAGTGCATCAGTACGAACTGGAAATGCCCGGCCCAATTCCAGAGTGATTATTTCACTTGCAGAATGAACCCGAAATTACTGTAGTGGAGCTTTTAGACAGGCTTTGTGTGCCGCCAAGAATCGTGGGGCTCAGGCTTTCCGCCGAGACCCGCCAGGCTAAGGCTGCCATCTCCCGCAAAACCGGTAGAGGGAGCTGCTCACAGCAGTGGCTTTCGGTTCCTCTAATACATCAAACCGGTTTTGTTTTCCTTTTAAATTTGTCGAAACAAAGTATCATCGCTTACTCCAAGATGAAAAAGCCAGAGATGCCCTGGGTACCCGAACCACTCTTCTTCAATGGGAAAACACTGTAAATTAAATGCGCCCACCTGAGCCCCTTTCGGAGAAGGAAGGGTGGGACAGCGGGGAGCTGGCCCGGGTTTCTCCGGCGCCCGGTATCAGTCGGCCAAGACTCTTTTACCTGCATGGGTCCGTCTGAAACAGGAAGGGACCACAGCATCCGTCCAGCTGCAGGGGACGGCACCCTGGCCTGCCTACCCGTGCCCCGAGCGCATTCCTGCGGGAACCCGCCCCGGCGGGCCTTCCCGAACTTCGCCCAGCAGGCCAGGCTAGCCCGTCTCCCCACCCTCCCCTCTTCCCTCCTCCTTTGTTTGACCGCTCACACGAAACCGCGTCCCAAAAAGGTGACAAAACCCAAACGCAAAGTGGTAAAATTCATTTTCAAAGTTAAAAGTAAAACAGATCTCCCCTCGTCGCCTGCTCTCAGACAAGCCCTTACCTCTTCATGTTTCCACAGGCCCCTATTTCTAACTTGGGTAAATAGGCTATGGACTTCATGTCCCAGAACTCTGCGCGGCAGACTAAGGGGATTGTGGTATAGTGCAAGCCTCTGGGAATTGTAGTCTGGCTGCGCTGAAGCCATGAAAAGATAAAGTATTGAGTAGCCGTTTCGTTGTTCTTTACTTTCTCCTGTACGTTAAAAGCAACACACAAAATATTCAGCTCAAAACCAAGGAATCACCCTTGACATCTTCACTCTCATCCAATATCACAAAATTCTGGCTATTCTCTAATTTTCGTCAAATGTATCCCTAACAATATTGCTTCTACTTCAAAGTCTTCTCTGACCTATCTATCTATGGCTTCTAGAGGAGGCTCGGGTCCATCCTCCTCAGTGCAGCCACAGTGAACAAAATAAGCCAGGCACATCATTGGCCCCAGTGGTCCTCTCCTCTCTGTAACAGGGGTTTCTAAGACATTGTACTTCCTATTCTGAGAATCATAATTGTTTGTGCTCAGGTCCATGACTGTTTCTATTGAAAATTATGAATCAAGACAAAAGTACAGGATAGTAGTAAAGAGCATGATCGCTTAGCTTCCAGAAATGGAAATACAAATGTCCTTAAATACATGAAAGGACAGTTTGCTCTGTAAGTACACATTCTCCTTTCAAAAGGAGACTGATTATAAAATACCTGGCCCATACGACTTAAAACTGCAAGGTCATCAAAGGCATGGCAAGTCCGAGAATCTGTCAAAGGCACAAAATGAGACATGATGACTAAATTTAATGTGGTATGCTGAATGGCATCCAGGAACAGAAAAAGGAGCCTAGGTTAAAACTAAGGATGTATAATAAACTTTAATTATGTTCATTAGCCATGACATTAGCTTATATCAGTTATAAGATGTTAACACTAAGGGAAATTTAGTGGAGATATACAGAACTCTGTACTATGAAGTTTTCCTGAAAATCTAAAGTTCTTCTAAAAATGTACTTTTAGAAAATACACTAAACATTTCCAGCTACCGGACTAGTCAAGTCTGTTAATGCACTTGTTTTGTTGATGCTGCAGGGAAATTGGTATGACCTCCATGGGAGGCAATGTGAGGATATAATTGAAATTAATGCTCATTTGTTTTAGAGTAGCAATTCAACTCTCTCTCTCTCTCTCTCTATATATATATATATAATTCACTGTGGCATTGTCACAATAAAATATTGTAAATAACTTAAATATCCACAAATGTGATATTCATTCAATGGAAAAGTATGCAGCAGTTCCAACTGTGACAAAATAATTTTACAGACTGAAACACAGTCAATGCAACAGCAAGGTCTGTAACCATGTGTACGGTATACTCCCACTTGAGCAAAAAAATGGAGAATATATGTGTATGTTTGCCTGCCTATATATAGAAGATCTCTGGAAAAAGAGGCAAGTGGTGTTTGTTACAAGTAGGGGAGGATTAATACTCATTCTGCTTCTCTCTCTGTGTGTAACCATATTACCACATGTGACTATTATCAAATCATTTTTTTTAATTAAAGGTAACCCTTCTTATATGACAAAGTGACACAAGAAAAAAGATCAAGTTTGGGGCTCACACTGCTTGTATTTGAATTTCAATCCCCAGTAATTGATAACATAGCAGAGTACCAATATGGACTGAACTTTTGCTTCAAGTTACAAGACCAAGTGACTTCAGTAAGTTGTGTTCCATTGGTTTAGGCCAGTTAAAATGGGGCAATAACTCAGGATAGGGGCTTTTTTTCTTTTGGTGCTATAGTAACTCAATTATTTTATTCTGCAACTAATTCATGGGAAAAATAAACATATGGTTTTAAAGTCATCTGCTAGTGTGGTTCATCCATCAGCAAATATTGCAATGTTACCCAGGAGGTTAAGACTTATTCAAACTGTGTCAGCGTGCTCAAGTTAGGAAATGGGGCCAAAGAGCAGCTACCAAAAGACATTGTGCTTCTTATTCTGACAACTTCTAAGATAGAAAATGTCACAGGAAGTACTAGTTATCCCAAACCTGTCACCTACAACTTTTATGCTCTTGAATCACACAGATAAATGAATGCAAATATAACATGCAGTACTGTGTGGCTTGGAGCTTTGGCAGAGACTATGGATAGGATATAAGCATAAACAAAATGTGGGTTATAGCCCAACCTGCACCAGGTAAATCTTGCATGGCTGTGGGGATGCTGCTTAAGCAAACTGCCCAACAGACACATTAATCAACAGGGAAGTGGCAAAATATACCAAGATTGCTGGCACTTGTCTCCTGAGAAGGCTGCAAAGGGTGAAATACTACACCGAACTGAATCACATCAGACTTGTATACAGCTTCTAATAAAACATGCATTCTGTTGGTACTGAAGTGATAAACACTACATTACAAATCCACTAGGTGGGATGAGTGGAGAATGAATGGCTAAAAAGACATTCACATAGAGTGGAAGTGCAACTGGAAAGAAGGTCATAAGCAAGTTTTCTATGTACTTGAGTATAAATGGAGCCAATCCGAGTAGTAGATACCAAGGGACAAACACTAGAAAATTGCACTGGAAGGAAAACCAGTCTATTTCTAGCCTTGCCAAACTTATTAACTGTGGAATAATAGCGATTCCATTTCCCACAGCATTCCTCTCCCTCCTTTAAAGGTTATCAGACAGCACATTAAAAGCTTTGAGGTTTCTAGATGTTATTCATAGGCATAGAGAGCTTACCATGATGTAATTTGACAATTTCACCCCCACGATAATTTACCACAAACTGAAAAATATGCCTCATTTGTCTTTCTGACAATTTAACAAGGTTAGTTTAATTAAGCCTGAAGCTCCTCAACACAGACATATTTGCAGGGCTTGTCCTTTTTAGGTGTTTTCTTTGCAGCACACTTCTGATGAATACATTATAAACCAATTAAAATTTCCAGATAAGAAAAGATGCTAAAACCAAAAATCTTCTCTTGAAGGGATAGCATCACTCATTTAATATTTAGAGTAAACACTTGTGCATGTCTTTCAAATTTCCCAAATGAGACAGCACAAATGCTGTTATAAAGGGAATAAATATGGCATCTTTTTCAAAGGATAAGAAAAAGCAGCTGAACAGCAGGAAAGTGTCAACACTACAAATTTAAGAATCCTCCTTCAGTTACTGTTGGAGTTCATCTTTTAACAATGGTTAAGAGGGACTCAAGACGCTAGAACCTAATATAAATGTTGTCTTAAAATTACTGACAAAATAGGTTGTTTCTGACCTTTTAATATTTGCTCAACAACATTATTTTTGTTAGATATAAGAATCAGAGGCAGAAGGAACCTTAGAGATGATTTAGTCCAAGGCTCCGGATTCCAGATGGTGTATTGAGATTTATTACTAAATCTTAACAGTGTTACTGTATTGAATTGCAAGCCACTTGTCATCCATGGGACTCCTCCATGTCCTGGACAATACACTAGAATTCCAAATGCAAAGCCAGGGGTACTGTAGCCTCCTCTTTATAATAAGCACTCTTACTGATATGAAAAAACATAAAGGAATCACAAAGTTCTAGAGAAATGAAAACTAGTTTCTTTCAGTTGGAAAAACCTTAAAAAGGTCTGGTTCTTTCATATTATAGATAAAAGACAATACTCCAAATGAAATGATTTATAATTAGGCAAGGACAAGACTAACCCAGTATTCACCATGATCTCTTTGGTGAATGTGAAACTTAACTTATACACAGCCTACAAGATTTGAATCACCCAAAACAATAGGGGAATTATCTTTATTCTTGGGAGTAATAGAACAAGGACTCAAAAATTAGAGAAGACTGAAGATTACTTATAAGCTTGTGAGTACTTTACTGCATTTACCTACAGAAAACACCCATAAAATTCAATGGTCTCTGGAATATATTCATACTCTAAAATTTTGAATGGTAACAAAACTTACCTGCTATGAAGCTGTTAATTTGAAAAGTTTGGGTAGAAAAGTGGTCATGTAAATTCTGATGTTTATTCTACTCATAACATAAAAATCACTAGTTCTCACTCCGAAAGTATTTTTTTCCTGTACGATGCTCTCAGGATGGCCATTTGCAGTCAGAACAACAGAAATTCGGTCAGTAATTACAGACAACCAAGCTCCAGTCACTCAAAAACTTTCAAGTAGCAGATTTTGGTGTTATACTTTTATTTGTTTTTAGAACATCACCTTTATTTATGACAGATATGAAACATATAACAGAAGAGATCAGACTGTTCCCACACGAATAAGGCTTTTTAAAAAAATCACGCTAATCAACTATAAATCATATATTAAAACTAAATAAGATACCAAGATAGCTGTACACCAAAAGAAAGCTTACTGCCTGAAACTTCTCCTTAAAATAACCTAATTCAAACCAAAATCAACACTGACTTGTACTCCCTTCTCTGAATTTCTGTGGCACATACTTTTTGTAGTGGAGAACATATAGCCTTGTCTTGTTTTCATACAAACAGGCATTATTTATTCCCAAACTAGACAGTAAGTTCTTTGAGGAGAAAGACTTTAGAGTAACTAGCACTGCATGTTGGAAATAGTAGGCCCCTAGAAAAGACAAACTGGCATTTAGATTTTTGGCAAATGCTTCTCTATGGTCTGATTACAGTGAGAAAGATGATTTGTGCTGGTAGAAAGGAGTGGAATCTAGCATAATAAGATTAAAAATTACGCACAGAGTATCAACATCTAAACAGACTGCTTTCTAAACAGCAGGGCTAATATTTTAATTTTCTAATACTATCAATCAAACTCTAGTATAATGCTCAAGAGTATAATATTTCAATGGGGGAAAAAATCATTGCAGATAGGCATACATTTTACCACAACCAAAGATTAAAGCGTAACTGTAAAAACTACTCTATTTAAGATTGTCTATATTTGTAGGTAATGTGTAATCTAAAAACAACATGCAGAAAATTCGCTCATTCACTCAAAATCAATCCTGACATTGTTCTGCTCCTTGCAGTGATGAGCCACAAAAACCTGGATTACTGCCTCCACCTTCCGTTGCAGCATGCCTGTGGAGGAAAGGTCACACGTCATTAATCTGAGGGCAAAACATTCCAGGAACATAGTAAGTTATATTTTTGTTTTAATGTATGATTTATGAAACGCTGAAGATCAATTCAAATAACTAAGTATTGGAAAATGTAGAAGAAATATCATGTTTCTTAGCTTAGAAACTTTTATGTAAACAGTAGCCAAGGATGTTCTTGATCTGCTCTTAACGTGCCTCCTTGATATTTATGTTTCACTGAAGATAACTGTTAGCTGTCTTTTACTCACTACTGCTGAAAAGCGTCATACAGAGTTGTCATTAAATTGATGGTGCAGATTTAGGTAGGTCTTGTTACCTATAAGCACATTACCATAGTGAGTTGATTCATATTGCTGTTCCTTCCTAATAATTTATTTAACTTGGTATCCTAAACTTTGCTCAGGGGCAGAGCAACAAAAAGTACCATTCATTTTACCACATAAAACAATAACTTTCTGTAGGAAAAAAAATGAGCTGTAAGCATGATCACCTGAATCAGTTGTGCACACGTTTCTATTAATGAGCCCAATTAAACTTGGCTATTGATTTTAGTGTTCACTAATACTCACTAGTTAATAAAAACAAGTGTCAAAGGCTTAAGAAAAAATATTATAAGAGAAAAACAAACTATTTGGCACAATGTAATTCTCATCAGCCACTTGGAAAAGCCCAGCTATGATTCTGCTTTTAAAGTGTCATGCTTCATCCTATCTTATAAATACACAGGCGTTACATAAGCTCACACCTTTGGAACAAGTGCTTAAAATGATAGTTGTCTACTGCAAGGCTAGAAAAACAATGACCATGAGCATGACAAGCTATTAATGACCTTTCTGCTGTACAGAACAGCTGGATACAAAATTCCCCCCTAAGAACATGATAGAAGCCCAAATGAGCACAACAACCAACCATTAACTTCAGGTCAAAGTGTCAACATAAGCACAATTTACTTAATTTGCTGATTGATACATATTAAATACAAAGGAGTTCATTTATTTAAAAATGTTAATCAATAAAATGTCAAGAAGTGCAAGTCAGTATGACTAAGCAATCCTTAGTATAAATATTTTGTCATGTCTTTAAATTCAATTCTCAAGATTATTTCTGTATCAACATATACACTTTCATTCTTTAAGGACAGAACTGTACCTAGGCATTAAATGCCCAGAATTCTGGTGCCATGACATGCATGCATCAGTGATTGGTTCACAAAGGTCTATTAAATAGTAAGTAAAATGCCAGTAATAGTCAAAATTTGGGGGGAAATGTCATATACAATGACATTATTAAAGAATTGTAGTGAACTTTATGAAACTGAAATTAAGAAAGTAATTCTATTCATGACAGCATCAAAAAGGAATTTAATTTACCAAATGAAATATAAGACCTATATAATAAAAACTACAAAACATGACTAAAAGAAAAGTGAAGATCTAAATAAGTGAAGAATTAATCCATGTTCATGGACTGAAAGCCTCAATGGTATTAAGATGGTAAATCTCCATAGACTGATTTAAATTCCAAGTAATCCCTGTGAAAATTTCTGTAGAAATAGACAAGGCTTAGTAGACAAACCTAGTTTAAAATGTATATGGGAAGGGAAAGGACCCAACGTGGACAAAAACAATCTTGAAAAAGAATAAATTTCAAGAACTACACCATCAGATTTTTACACTAGCAAATAATCAAGACAGTGTGGTATTAGCATAGGATAGCCAGAGAACCCTGGGACATAAAGTCTATTAAAACAAACAAGCAAACAAACACAAACCCTTTACTGGGCCCTCCCTGGTAGCACAAAAGGTTAAAGTACAGCACTGTGAGGCTATCCTCAGCCATTGCAGCATGAGTTCGATCCCTGGCCAGGAGGGTGATCCACATGTGTGGCAGACCTCTTCTGGCCCGCCCACTGCTCCCCTCAGTAGTGTGGATCTGCCTGTTCTGTTTCCCACTCTGTCTATGGTGAATCTTCTCACCCACACCCGGCACCTCTGACCTGTATCCCAGTTCTCAGATGCATAAATAAATAAAATCTTAAAAAAAAAAACACCTTTATTTATAAATATGGTCCGTCCATTCATTTTTGACAAATGTGCCAAGACAATTCAAAGCGGGGAAAATAATCTTTTTTCAACAAATGGTGCCGGGACAACTGGCTATCTATCTACATGTAAATGAAGTAAATGAACCCCCTACCTCTAAATATACACAAAAAATCAATTTAAGATGGATTACTAAACTAAATATAAGAACCAAAAATATATTTGAAGTGCCATTTTTGTACACAAATGTCAATCAACTGATGAATGGATAAAGCAAATGTTCATACACTGGAATAGCACACAGCAGTAAACAGAAATGAAACACTGAGCCATGTTACAATATAGGTGAACCTTAAAAACACGCAAGGCACAAGAGACTATATATAATATGATTCCATTTATATAAACTCTTCAGAAAAGTCAAAGCTATAAAGACAGAAAGTATATTAGTAGTTGCCTGGGATTCAGAACAGAAATAAGGATTATCCATAAATGGGCAAAAGGGAAGTTTTTGAGGTGATCAAAATGTTCTAAAATTGGATTGAGTGATGTTTGCACAACTCCACAGCTTTGCTAAACAGCTACTGGCTGAGATCATATTTTGTCTGCTTAAAAATATTTTTCAAAGAGAATTTCTTCCCAAAAGATTCTGGTAAAACTCTTTCTGGCTAGTCCCATTCTGTTTAAGGAACATCTTTTCTTCAACTTAACCTACATGAAAATATTTTAGGTAAAGATTAACTTTCAGAGAAAGTTATGAAAATAAGAAATTTGGCCACTGAATTCAAACACAGCTTTCTACTGTAACTATCTTAAGTCATATATCATAATCATTATTAGATAATATAAAATTCACTGTCAAAGGATAGTGTACTCTCATACCACTGTAGACACTACTATAGCACATCTCCTATTCTTCTTCTACACAAATCAGGGCACTAAGAGAAAAAAATCCTGATAAAAAAATGGTCAAAAGAGACAAACAGATGACTTATAACATGATATACACATTGTTTATGAACATTTTAAAGTCAACCTCAAATTAAACTAAACTCAAATTAAGCATGGGAAATATTTTTACATATTATGTTTTAGTTAAGAATGATAATGGTGATTATATCCAGGCTCACTGAAGCACAATTAAAAACAGTGAAAAGTTGGAAACATTAAATATTACTTAACAATGGGGTACTAGTTAAATGTATAGATGGGGAACTAGTTATGTGTGTGTGTGTGTGTATATATATATATTGAATACATATACACACACACACACATATATATATATAATGGGAAATTTAGCAGCAATAAAAATGTACATGTTTGTTCGCTTTGCATTTATTTTTCCATCAAAAGCTGAGTACAATGTGCTATGTACATATCAGGGACAAATAAATTTAAAATGTATACTGGACTGCACATTTATGTGAGAAATAGCTAAGTTCTGAAGATACAAAAATAATTAAAACATAGTGTCTACCATTAAGGAGCTCAAATTCCATTAAGGGATACAGACAAGTAAATAAGCAAGTGCAACAGTATACAATAAATGCTAACAATACTGTATATAGACATCATATGAGAATGCTGAGTCAAGAAAAGCTTCCTAGAATAGATGGTATGTAAACTACATCCTTATAGCGGGTAGGGATCAGACAGACAATGCTGGGGTAGGGTAATCCAGGCAGAATCAGTTGACATTCAAAAATATGGAAAAAGAAAGAATAGAGGGAATGTGCAAAATCATAAATATATTTTTTTTAAAGCAGTGCTGCAAACAAAGGATGAGGCTAGAAAAATAGATGTCAGATTGCAGAGGGTACTTTGTGAATTATGCAATGAAATTACTGGGCAATGGGAATTACTTAAGAGTTTTTAATAAAGAGGTGATAAGAACAATCTCATTTATATGAAAACCACTCTGGCAGTATTGTGAAAGTGAATTGGAGTGAGGTAATAAGATCAAGGAAAAGAAACCAGAAAAGTCTCCAGTTAAAGATTTAAACATCTTCATTAACCATTGCTCCATTTCAAAAACACTCATAAAACAGAACAAGGAGGTATTTTTTTGAACATAAAGCATAAAACCACAAGGACAAAGGCAACAAGATAGGAGGCCAAAACAATCTTTGAAAATGAAAACTAGATGGTACTGAAAAAACCTAGAAAGGATTTGGAATTAACAAATCTCCTTCACATTCTACTTAGGTGATTCTCCTTACTCAAGGCTAGCAGAAGAATTTTCTATCAGAGGGTGAGCCAAAGTTGAGCTCTGAACTGCGGGAACCAAGAACAAGTGGGAGCAAGGAATCTGTACCAAAGATAGGGACTAGGTAAAAGTTTACAAGATTTTTAAAAAAGTTTACAAACTGAACATTGAGCTCCTAGTCCCTTCTGTAACAGTTCTAGAACATAGACTTACTTCTTACTCTGAAGAGTAGAGAACATATAGGGAAGAAAATTAGCAGTAATCTAATTCAAGAAAATTTCTCCAAGCTGAAAGAAAAGTTTCTCAAGTGAAAGGGCTCACTTACTAAACACCAACTCTCTGGATGAAATACATTTACATTGATGATACATAATCTGAAATTTCAGTGTTCTGGGGGAAGATACAAAACACTTCTACAAGAGAGAGAAAGCATAAATATGAAGATGTCACACAAAGATTTGGGAATCAGAATGGTCCTCAAAACTAGAAAACAATGGGTCAACTTCTTCAAAAGTTAAAGAAATTATTTCTGTGGTGGAATGCAATACACAGTATTATCAATTAAATGTGAGAGTAGAATAAAGACCCTTTTGGTCATGCAAGGGCTCAAAAATTTTGCATCAGCTGATAGAATACGTGCTATAGCAAAACAGGGGAGTAAACCAAGAAATAGGAGGTATAAGAGCCATGAAAACAGGAAAGCCAACAAAGAAAGGAATACATGAAATT